CATCGCAAGGTCATAGTTGTCTGATAGTGTTTTAAATTTCAATTTTTTTCCACAAATCCAAATTACTGAAAATTTGGAGCGTGTACACATCTTAATGAGGCAAACTTAATAAAAATATGAAAAAATAATTCGTAAAATATAAATTGAGCAAAATACCTCAAAAAAATTATGGGGGTATTTTGATCAATTTATATTTTACAAATTATTTTTTTCATATTTTTATTAGGTGCGCGTCACTAAGATGTACATACACCAAATTTTAGATCATTTTGATCGGTAAAAAAAATGAAAATTGAAATACTAGCGGATAACTGTTACCGTGCGATGAAGTTTGGCTGGTGATAAGGGTAGGAAAAATATTTAAGAAAGAGAGAAAGATGCTTGTCTAGTCAATGTTTCGAATCAATCCCAAAAATATCTATGATAGTTCGGGATTGATTCGAAAATTTTGGTTTAGGATTGATTTTAAAAATTTTTGGGATTGATTCGAAAAATATTTAACATAAAAACATAATATTTAAGAAAGAGAGAAAGATGCTTACCATATTTAAGAGGAGGGAGAGAGATAAATGTGGGCATTTTCATCTTAGGGTTTTCAGCATGAGATGTCGATGAGTTGCACAAGCTTGAAACTCGAGTTGGATTTTCTGGCCATGCCACTTAACTTCACGGATTTTCACAATTCCAAATTCTTAAACCTGATATTTTCTTTGATTTCCTTAGGGTTTCCTAATGTCTTTTATAGGTTTTACTTGTTTTAGGAAAATGTTTGCCTGGTCAATTCTCAAGAGAAAGATGAGGCTACAACGCGGTAATCATCATATACAGGTGTGCAAGCTCCTTTGTTTTTAAAAGTCTTTTCATAAATTTTGAAAACAAGGGGGGAATTTTGAAATGGAACCTGGAGCTTTGGACAGGTCACGATTTTAACAAAGAAATTAAAGTGTTTGAAAACACAAGACATATAGTGAATCATTTCGAAAAGAGAAAGTTATTTTGAAAAACAAATTTTTAGTTAGCAGTTTTAGCTCCTGCAACCATAGATCCCACTAAGCAGTTTAACATCATGTAGCAATGGATAGATACATCCACCCTTTACGTCATACGGGGCTAGATGGATACAGACGGTGCTAGGCGTCACTGGCTGTATTAGGCAAAGACGAGGAAAAGGACTCAGTCGGCACTGAGCATCGCCGGCCGGGTTAGACAAAGAAGAGAGAGGTAACACAGTCGGTGTTGAGCATCGCCAACTGTGTTAGATAGAAAAGAGAGAGAATATGCCGTCGGTGCTAGGCTTCGCCAACTATGTTTGACGAGAAGAGAAAGATGATGCAGTCGACGTTAGGCTTCGTCGACTGTGTTAGACGAGAAGAGAAACAGGATGCAGACGGCACTAGGCTTTGCCGACTATGTTAGACAAGAAGAGCGAGCGGATGCAGTCGTCAACTATGTTAGGTAAGAAAAGAGAGGATACAATCGGCGTTAGGCTTCACTAACTGTGTTAGACGAGAAGAGAGAGAAGATGCAGTCGATGCTAAGTTTCACCGATTGTGTTAGACAAGAAGAGAGAGAATATGCATTTGGCACTAAGCTTCACCGACTGCGTTGAACGAAGAGCAGAGAGAGGATGCAGTCGGCTTTAGGCTTCACGGACTGTGTTAAACGAGAAAAGAGGGAAGATGAAGTCAGCGTTAGGCTTCATCGACTGTGTTAGACGAAGAGCAGAAAGAGAGATAGGCTTGAGAAAAAGAGAGAGAGAGATAAAGATGAAAAGAAGGGAGAAAAAGAGAGATAGAGATGAGAAAAAGAGTAAAGAGAGATAGGGATGAGAAGAAGAGAGAGAAAGAGATATAGGGATGAGAAGAAGAGAGAGAAAAAAAGAAGAGGAGAGAGAAAGAAAGAAGATGAGAGAGAAAGAGGGGAGGAGAGAGAAAGGGGGAGGAAAGAGAAAGGAAGAGGAGAGAGAAAGAGGGGAGGAGAGAGAAAGGGTGAGGAGAAAGAAAGAGGGGAGGAGAGAGAAAGTTACCTTATTGACGGGTAATAGTCCTTTTCTTCTCTCTCCTCTCTCTCTCTCCAAGATGCACCCACGAGTTCAAGAGGAAATTGAAATTTTATTGATCGTTCTGTGAAATGAATCGAAGGTCCTTTACAATTTGGCTTTGCATGCTTATATAGAATTGGGCTAAAACATGGGTGTACGCCCAAAACTTGCTAAAATTGAAAATAATTACAATTTAATTGAATTAAAAGAAATTCTAAAAATAGGTGCAAAATGACTGTTTTGCCCTTGCCTAACAATGTGTGGAATTCTAGAACAGTCCCTACAATTGCTCGAGAACTTGCATGATCTTCTATTACTGATATGGGGTTGTTTTGATGCCCATTTGATCGAAAAATGATTGTTTTCTTGTTGGGCTCGGCATGGAGATCGATTTGATACCAACTTCGAGTCATGAATCATGTTTTTAAGCCATGATCATGAAACTTGAATTTTGGATGAATCTTGAAAACTTTAGATCAATTGTGTGCTCGTTCCTTGATGTTTCTTCATGATTTCTTCACTGAATCACACTTAGCATGCCGTCACGATCATGTTGCAAGAAACACAGCTCAATTTTGTGTTCTGACGAAGATTTGGTCGTCTTGAGTTTTTTGCTGGAATATTGAAATCCAACGACCGGACAGAAGCTTTGACGCCTCCGTATGTGAAATCCAACCATTAATCGTACATAAGGTTCTGACCAGATATGGCCATAGACCTTACGCACATAATGCAATTGGTTTCGTGCCGATCGGGTATGTGAGCATCGGGATTTAGCTACCGGAGTTCGGTGTGCTACTGCTGAATTTTCTGCATCTTTCTTCCCGGATCAGCATTTTCTCTGTAGTTTATCTCCCTGCTCGGGCATCTTCATGGGCGTACCACATATTGAATCGCTCGTCTTGATGAGATGAACACGATCACCAAATTTGAGCGCGATCTAACTCGAATCCAGTGAGATATGGGCCCTGAAAGTGACTGCGCGTGACTATTTTGTGACTGTGAAAACAGTCACCTTTAATTGTGTTTTGGTGTAGGGAGCCGATACGGGAATAGTGTGCAGCCTACCCCTTTTCGGTATTTTACCCATAACTTTGTCCTGGAGTGCTCGATTAAATCGAAACTTGACCCATAGGGGTTTTCGACCGTGCTGGATTCAATGGTGGTGGTCCCACAGCTGTTTGACTCACCAAAAATATAGTTCTAGTTATAAGGTCCATTTCAAGGTGTTAGAGGCCAATTTTTTCGAAATTGTTTCTTTGTGTTCACTACCTTAAACATGTCTGATCGCGATAAAACTTGGCGTGGCCTTCTACAGTGATGATGAAGATTGTGATCAATTCTGGAGCAATTATGAGATTGTCAAAATTTCCACTTATTTTGTAGGCTTTATTGACCTGCTTCCTTCTTTATTCCGCATCAGGGACTAAGGTGCTGAAAAATGCGGAGAGAAGTGAGAAGGACAACATTCGAAAAATTTCCTTCGGCTTTATTACTTTTTTTTCCCTAGCCATAGGACCACATGAACGCCGAGGAGATTTACACAATGGCGCAACTAGAATGCTCAGACATAGGGATGTATTGTTCGCGGGTCCGTCCGTAGAGACTTTAAGGGGAGAAGAGACTTTTTTTAAGGATCTTATCGAAGTCTTTACCCTTGTGTGGACTGTTTGTGATTCTGAAGCTAAGGATTTTGTACCGATCTCGTCAGTCAGAATCAGGCCCGTCTGGCAATTGAGTGTCATGATGAAGGGCATTGTTCCCATTTGGTCTGGGTTTCTTTGTATCCCTTAGTGTTGAGCCATGTTTCGAGGATTATGTGAATGGTATGCTGAAGGGCCTTACATCGGCATCGTCTGCTTTATGCATCAGTTATTCCTTGGCGAGTAGGGCACCTCAGTTTATCGAGGTGACCAGCTTTGGGTACAACCACTCCTACCCACTGCTTTGCAGCTACAACAATCAT